TACTCATAGCCGTGCATGCTGTAGTCGTTAGACCATAATTGACTGGGGGGGGGTGTCACATGGGGGGGCGAGCGTGCCCACAGGATCTTGCGGATCCTGGTGTCAACGTTAACGTCAACGTTAACATTCCTCTTTCCTCACCTGTAAGTTCATGAGGACGACGTCGTCCGCGCTGTCGGTGAGCGCGTTGAGCAGCGACGGTAACAGCTCCTGGATGAATCGGCCCATGTCGGATGGAGACTTCTCCAGCAGCATGTTGATCCACCTAAGAGCGGCCTATGGTTGCAACACCAGCAGCAGGTGGCCATTGCAGGAAGCGCAGCAGCAGTCGGAGCACGCACGGGCGGGTGGGATGAAAAACACGCCTCCTCTACTGCAAAACCGGTACACGAACTGTACAACACGATGTAAACCGGATGACTTGGTGGCACGGTGCACGGCACCTGGCCGCACAAATATGCCATACCTCTCCGCTGCTTGCCATATGGGGTGTAGTACACATGGATAGCATAGGGTATTGTCGGTAATCCACGACCGTGGGTGAGAACGATGATGGTGGACGGGACGGCACAATAGGTAATTTGTCAGTGTCTTGGCGTTGGTGTGCACCGCCGTCAACGAATCCGCGTGTCTGGATTTGACGCAGGATATTTTGGGTTCAGCCAGACTGGCGACTCAGACTCAGCACTATTTCATCCTAAGACATGTCCCCCCGTCTCCTATTCTGCACAAAACATGTTCTGCCCTTCAGTAACAACTAGACAGTTCACGAAAAGATAAAAACATCGTTTGCATTTACAGATGGTACTCCTCTATCTCTGGCCCTATTGCAAGGCAACTCAACGACCATTAAAAAATAACGGCTCAACGGCAGCATCCCTCCCCTCACCATCTTGGTAGGCACGTGGTGGCTGAGCAGCCCCACTTTGAGAGTCTTGAGCAACGGGCTCAGCTCGAACTCTTCGCTCGACCCCTGCCGGAAGTCAAAACCCCGATTCGATACATTAAAGATGAACACACGAAGATAGACATGGACAGTCGTAGGACTCCGGCAACGAGATTAGCCCTGGAGCAACATGTGTTGGGTACATCATCGTATTCTACGGTAGGTTCTTAAAAAAAAAAACGCCTCGCACGATGTTTGCTACGGTGGGGGTCCCGGTTCAGCAACCCCATGTTTAGCGACATGCCCTGTGTAGCGACCACAAAACCACGTGGAATCGCGGCGCCCCGGTAGCATAACTGCTATGCTATATACTTATTAGTTCGGTTTAGCGACCTGCCCTGAATAGCGACCACATTTCGTCGTGACACTAGGGGTCGCTAAACCGGGGCCCCCACTGTAGTCAGGTTGTCGGAGAAGGGAGTCGAAGGACCACTCAATGAACACAAGCCTTTTCTTGCAGACATCTCCGCCTATCGTACGGGCAAGCCTTTCGACGACGGCATTGCTTTTTTCATGTACAAAGAACCCACAACCACGAGGAACATGCCACCTTGTGGGAACGACAGCAAAATGACGTTTAAGCCCGGATGGACCACAGGTCGGACCAATTCCCCGCCACAGCACCGGGATGACTAGACTACGGCTACGGCAGCAGTTCATCGACAATCGGGACGAAAACTCCGAAGAAGATAACTTGACAACCTGACGACTTTTAACCGCGAACGGCACCAGAACTCCACCGACAAGATAACTTGACGATTACTGTTTTTGACAGTCAGGCGCGCAACGCTGGTGCTGGATGATGATTGGTCAAGGGACGGGCGGCACAGCGACAGCACCCTGTCTCTCTGGCCAGCGTCGCACAAGAAGCACGGCAACCACCAGTCCAAACGTGTCTTCCAAGCAATTCCAACAGCAGCACGAGGCTTACCTGAGCGACCTGGGGGTTACAAACTTCCGCACACAGGAGGTAGTCACGTAGTCTCACATATTGCATGGTGGTGACTATCTTACCCAAGGACTTTAGCAATTCATTAGATACCAGGGCGAGATTCTTACATCTCTAAGGGTATGTACCTGTACTTTGTATTTCTAATAAATAGCAGGTTGATATTTCGACTTTTAGGGTGACGCATGCATAGCATAGCATAGCATAGCATAGCGTAACATAGCACAGCACACCTGTACAAGCTCTAGGAGGTCCTTGTTTGCCTCGCCCGCCCGCTCTCGCACAACCGGGTCTGTGTCGCTGATGCAATGGCTGATCGCACCCAGAATCTCCCAGAAAAACAGGACTAGTCGCTCCCCCTTTCGTCGCCGGCAAGCGTAAGCGTATCAAGGGGGGCGGGGGGATCCTTGGGGGCTATGTGGGTGTGTGTTGGGATGAAAGCCACGCTGCGAGCACGCAGGCAGATTGTTGACAGGGTCTAGAGCCGTTGTTCAAGGTTCTTGAAACAAACCACAAAAAAAGCCGACAGCACCGGTGTGTGAGTACGGCCTTTTCACAATACGGTGCGGGTATTCACTGCTTCCGGCAGGGTTGGAAAGCTCAAATGATTGCACAAGTTTTTTGTTGCTCTTGGCAACGTTGTGTTTTTCTCTCAGTGTGCCGTGGTGCTACAGCAAGTGAGCGTATACTTAACCTTTTCCATACCCCCCACGCGGAGTGCTGCTGACACAAGAACGCTCACCCGCATGGAAGACAAAATATACTTAGTAGTAGCATACACACGCCTCCACGGATGCACCACACACCATACAGCAGGCAAGAGACAAGCAAGGCCAACCTTAGCCCTTAGCTACTGCTGCACCGCGAAAGACACAAAACAGCGCAGAGTGCTCCGCGCGACAGCGGACGTACCCCCAGCTTGATGAACTCGTGCACCCATTGCACCGCCGTCAGTCTATTGAAGCGGTCCTTGGAGTTGCAGTGTCCAACTAGGATGGGAACCATCGGACCGAAATCTACGAACGACGAGGCTTGGATCTCTCTGCGCCGCAGGCAAGACGATAGGGGCGGGGAGCGGGGAACGGCGTTTCGGGACGAGGAAAAGAAGCCAAGTCGAGCACAATGTCCTCGATAGAGGCAAACAAATAAGCTCTCTACAAAAGAGGGAAGATATCGATCGCCATCGAAGGGCGGACGTTGGGGAGATTGTACCCTTTTAAAGGTCATCTCCGTACCGTGCAGGAAAAAAAAAAAAATGTCGTTGCGGAGGTTTCCAATGTAAGTATGCTTGAAGATCCCTTTACAATAAAATACTAGCAAACGTTCTCAACAGGATGAGTTGGTCCAAGAGTCTTCCCCCATAAGGAAATTATCGTGGACGCATTGTCGATGTCTTGGGGGCATTATGTAGAGACTGAACCACTGGAAAACCACAGAAGCAAACAATACAATGTAAATGACACGCACTGCCGGGAATCTACCCAGCATGTACAACTCAAGAAACAAACAAATAAAAATGACGACAAACTCCTCACTTCAAGAAGTCGGATAGTGCCGTGTCCGCCGCCTGCCTAATCTCCCGGTTGCCGTCGCTGAGCATGTTGAGCAGACCGTCCAGAAAATCGGGCAGCCAGTCGATCATGTTGATGTCCGGCACGCTGTCGAGGACGGTGATCCACCCCACCTGGGAAAAACAGCCATACCATGATACCATACCAACAGCCTCGTCAATTTTTTTTGTTGGTGGTTCACTGCTTTGAAACAGCGCTCAACAACACCACCAATGAAAACGCAAATGAGTCGACGATAACGGCAGCAAAAAAACAAAAAAACACACAAGGCAACACCATCAGTTAAAAATGCCACGAGGCGACGTAACGCAAGGTCGTGTGTCGCACACAACCGTATCAATCTTGAGGTGACATGTATCGGCTGTTTGATCGAGCAGAAGCATCAGCACGCATGATGTCATCAATGTCGCCTTCAGACGCCTATAGTCTACAGTTGCCATGACAACATCATAGCACACCAAGTGACGCATGTACTATATATAGTCAACCCGAACAGTTGCACCAACAAAGGTGCCATGGTACAAAGGTATGTATACAACACAAACAAGCGCGAACGACAGCCGCACTACCAAAGGTCACCCGTCGAAAAAAACGTGGAATACCAGCCCCTTCGTAAGAGCACATGACATTGCCCCAAACAAACAAAAGAGGGAGGGTGATATGACTCCAGTAGAATCTGCCTGCTCGGTTGTAGAAAATACAAATAGAACCCTAAAAAGGGAGCCCAGCAGGGGTGTGCAGTGAGGCATCGCCGTCCGCGAGTCCCCTTTGCGGAGGGTGAGTGAGCACCGTGGCTCAGCGTTTGGCATGGAAAAACGCCGTTATTGGAGGCTTCGCCATGTGTTGCAGAAATACGTTGTGTACATGTTGCAAGTGTTTTTGTGTACTCACGAGAAGTTGTCGGATGTAGGGGTTAGCCCGGCGGATATACTTCTGCAGCAGCGGGATGAATCGCTCCACGTCGAAAGACTCGCTCTCTGTCACGATGTCCTTCCAACGGGGAACGAACGACGCAAAAAAAGCGATAATTTTAGCATTACAACGAACGCACACGTCTGTACGACAGGCAAGGGTTTCATGAGTATTTTCTTGATTTGATGATGAGACAACTCTGCAAAGTCTGATAACTAGATAACTGATCGGTGCAGCTGATGCATGGTGCGATTTGTGACAGCAGGAACCAAGAACGTATGGGGGCAAACACAAAAACTAGAACTGTCAAGTTTTCAGTGCCTGAATCCAGCGAATCCGTTCTTTGCAGCCATGTCCCCCGTCAAATCCGTCGTTCACAGCGCTTCTTGCGTCTTGATATTGCTGGTCAGACGATAAACGCGGTCGCCGCTCGCTCACGAAAATAAACCCAGTGCTACCGACATATTTGTATTGAATGCGATGATATCCTACTGCTGTGCCGCTTCCGTTGACTTCCAGAACACATCTCCAACAGAGGTTTCTCATGGAATGCATGCATTGTGCGCTTCTGCCCTTGTACCCACCTACGTTTGTTGCTGTGCTTTTGTACATTCTGCTGCGCTACACAATGCAGCAGCATGTACGTGTGGTCTGCTGATCTGCAATACCTTAATGAGCCGGTCGAGCAAGTTGGAGCCGTTCTTGACATCCACGTCCACGTCCGCGAAGAGCTTGCACAGGCCGACGAATATCTGGTTAAAGTACGCCAAGATGTCCCCTCTCGCCACCTGACGGCAGGCAGGCAGGCAGGCAGGCAGGCAGGCAGGCAGGCAGGCAGGCAGGCAAGCAGCATGCGGCGCAATGCAACAGGTCAAACAATACCCAAGGCGTAACACCATCAGGTCGGATCCCCACGCAACGCAACGAGGCTGAGGCGGATCCCCGTGCGATTGGAGGAGTAGGTACCAAGCCAGGCAGAACACAAACATGCAGACAGCGGTAAAGACTTTCAACACATGCCCTTCGACTGCGGTACTATCTCTGACGGGTGGTAGTCGGTACTATCTCTAACGGATAGCCTTCGAGTGATTGTACTGTTTTATCCAAGCATCAAGCACGACAAGGGCCTCTCCCACATGAGTGAGAAGAGAGGGAATGACGAGCCATACGGTGCATGTTTTGGGTAGGCTATACTGAGCGCGAATCCAACAAACCGCCCAACTGCAACAATGAATAAACACCGAAGCTCACTCCGCTGCAACACGACCATTGCGGCGGAACGAAAAACGGTTCACAAGGGATGCAAAGATGCAAACGACATGATGCATGATAGGATGTGCTGTCGTCCGGAGGGAACCAGATAGTTTTAGCAGCGGCGGTGGAGATTGACGACAACGCGCGACCAGGGGTCACTAAGGTCACCAACACAAATTCGGCAGACCGCGCCGGCGACCTTCAAGCAGCATGATATATTGTAGCCAACATCCTACCCTCGAAAGTTGCCTTTGACGGTGTTGGTTCATTCAATCGCGCCTTACAGTTACAGCAGTCGCGCATCGCAGCTGCCTAGACCCTTCTGCTCTCCCCACTCTCCCCCGTGGCGTCGAGAACGGCCAACATTCCGATGAAATTAAACTATTATGCATTTCAGGTGAATCGACCGAACGAGAAACTTAACAGACAAGACCGTTCGGTCGACCCATGCACAAGGCCCCTTTTTTGGTCGCCGCAAGAGAGAGAACGCACCTTCGCGATGTTGTACAGAGACTCGCACGCGTAGTACCTAACCCTGCTCTCGGGGTCGTCCAAGCAGTGCAGCACTGGCGGGAGCAAGGCGTCCAGGTAGAGCTTGGTGGCCTGCCGCGGTGCACAAGAGAGACACATCGGAATGCTTGTGGTTGCGCCAGCATGAAAGTGTCATGTCCGGCGAACACCCGTGAGGTACGTAGCGCTCTTGTCTTGTTCTGTGACAATACGGCAACACTGCTGTCTAACGAGAGACTAGTGAACCCGTTCGAGACAGTATCCGTTCGAAGGGAAGGGATGCATTTTGACATTGTTAACAGGTGCATGATCTGTCGGAAATTTCCTTCTAAGGAACTGCACGCGCGTTTGAACTATTATACTTGTACCGTCGCCTCCACCCCTCCTCCCGCTCAAAATAGACGCATTCGCCTGCTGCAGGTTACCTCCCGAAATATGGCGGTTACAATGATATTTTCACCATGGCTCACCACCGCCTTACATCCACCCCCCTACTGTACTGCTGTAGCCCCCCCCTCTAAAAGTTACAGGAACACGGGAGGGGATGTTGGATATATGGGAGCTTTCCCTCGAGCGAGGAGTAAAAAGCAGTCACGGGTTCTCGTTAGTCCAGTACAACATGTGAGTCGCTCGGGAGCGACCACCAAGGCGGACGTTAACAATTGTATTGTTTTTTAACTATTTCCTTGAAATGACACAATGCATCCGTCTCTATCCATAGAAAACAGTCTGAGACAGATTAGCAATGAATTCATATGTAGCGTCAGCAGAAGCTAGCTACCTAGGGAGCGGACGAATCAGTCGACACATTCCTCTTCGACATTTCGGTTTCACAACACGAAGAGGCTGTTCGTGAATCTGAAGTAGGCATGCAACATGGATTATGGATGATAGGGTTGATTTACTTACAATACCAAGAATACACCCCACGCTTTGCTTGGTAGTTGAATGGCGAACAGTCCGAATACTTCAAGAGATGGTCGAAGGTGATCTTGGTAGGAACTGCTTGTTGCTGCAGAGACCGCATAGCGCCGTTTAGAGGCAAACTGCACACAGCGGTTAGTGTGACGGGAACTGCTGAAAGCGGCAAGAGTGGCATGATTGCTGCCGTTGATGGCCTTACTTCACAACCAAAAGGCAAGAGCTATGGCTTCAATGGCGACAGGACAGAGCGGCGCCAAGGGCACGCGAAGACCGTCTTCGAGACAAGAGAGCGACTCCTGCTTCCTGCTGTTGGGGAGAAACCACGAAGTTTTAAATGTTCCGCATGTCAATATGAGATACATGGGAGTCTTTGTTCCTTCCAACAGCAGCACAGGGCGCCACTGCCACTATCACACAGGACCCACCGACATCAACCCGATGGCAGTCGCCGCCAGACCAATGAGCCCACCCTTGCGGTGGTTGGGATTGGTAGAGGTGGCAAAGTCCTGTCCCAAAAGGACAATGATGGAGCAAATGCGGTCGGTCTCGTTGTTGTCTTCCAGAGTCTTGATCAGGGCCTCGATCTCCAGCGCTGCATTCTTGCGCTTGTCGTAGGACCGATCACCCAGCCCTCGAAGGATTGCCGGGGCGAGGGGTGACTCCGCTGGAGTGCCCACACTCGAGTCTTCAGCCATCTCTACGCCTGTGCGCCTGTAAGATGCCTGATGTGCGCTGCCTGTTGCCTGTCTGTGCTTGCAAGGACCCCGGGGGGGGTATGAAATAACGACGGAGCCCCCGCCTTCGTATTGATCAAAGGTATGCATTAGTACGGAGAGATTGAGACAGAAGGAGTTACTGGATAGAGAGACCGGGATGGTTTTTAATGTGAAGACAATAACAATAAAACATAATGTATATATATATGCATTGGTATGCATATATGTTTTTTTCCGTATTCCTTATATATATTGTTGTTGTTTCTCACATTAGCTCTAAAAAATACTTCATATATTTATGGTCTAATGTGTTGTTGTTGTTGACTTCACATTAAACCGTATGCCAGTTGCTAAATGCCAAAATCTAGCAAAGACTCTCAGCCCGTGGTCACGAAAGT